TGAATTGTTACAAAAGTTTACTTTGGTGTTCACCAGAGGTTTAAAATATACTGTAAATCGTTTTATTTTCGCTGCTATGCATTTTCACAATATATGATTATATGGCATTTGTAGAGACAAAAATATGCAAAAGACACCAAAAATGATCAATGAATTTTTTTGTTGCAAAACTCAAGTGGTTTACAGTAAGCATGATAAATTACTGTATAACTCAGTGCAGTGGTGAAGTATTAAATTGGAAGTCAGTGGACTCCTTTGTACCATTTTTGACCATTTTTGTATTATCAGGCTCCCTCCTATTTTGCATACTCGCCCACCATTGTGTTTTTAATACTCCAAACATACTCTGGCAAAATACACTGACATGGCCTTTAATTGGCATATATGATTTGGATTTTTGTCAGAAAGACTATGAACTATGGTATGGCTTGTACACAAAATAAATTGATCAGTTCTCTGTAATGAAAGAGTTTATAAAAACGTGCATATAAATATAATTGTCAAAATTTACATAAATGGAATCACATACCTTCACAATATTTGCCTGCTGTACAGTTTACACAATCTATGACATCGATGTTTAGATATGATCCAGTATAGGTACCAGAAGGACATGGGAATGGAATATCGGTACCAACAGGGCAGTAGTGACCAGGAGGGCAGTCATGCTGATCCGGAGTATCGCTTGTGTGGTTACAGTAATAACCGGCATAACAATATCCAGTTGGGAATGCTAATCCTGCTGTCTGGCAGTACATGCCGGGAATGCATGGTTCTGGTTCGTCTGATCCAGTGGGGCAATAGTAGCCAGATGGGCACAGTCCTCCAACGCTGAGAGAGAAGTCTGGACACACACAGTCATATAACGGATGACAGGTATCGTTTGGATACACATAACTAGTAGGAGTTGGAAGTGGTGCAGCAAAACCAATGTCAAATGGCCGATACATATCAGAACCACCTTTACAGTAATAACCTTCATCACAGAGCCCTGATGGGTATGATAGACCACTACTTTCACAGAATAAACCAGGTGGGCAGAGCTCACAACTTGCATCACTTACTTGGCCAGTAAAATTGTTGTATGTGCCACCTGGGCATGGATACTGATCAGCAAACATCGTTCCAACGAGGCAATAATGTCCGACCGGGCAATCTACGGGGACTATCGTAGTGTTGACACAATATTTACCAGCAGGACAAACATAACATGCATCCAATCCCTTCAATTGGTGAGTAAGTACCAGGCTCGCATGCCTGAGGTTGAGCGGAACCTTGAGGACACTCATATCCGGCAGGACAGAGACCTCCTTCTCCAGTGTAATCATTATTATCTGGTGCGGAAATATTAACGCCATGTGTGCAATAATATCCTGGATCACAGTCACCGGCAACATGATCTAACCCTGGAATGTCACAATAACTACCACCAGAACATTCAGTACAGTCATCAGAAGATGCCAAGCCTTCAATTGGTCCATATGTACCTGCTGGACATGGTTGTAAATCATATGCTGTACCTGCTGGACAGTAATACCCTGGCTCACAAGGAATGGGATAGTCTCCTCGAATACAGTAGTATCCAGCTGGGCATTCCAGGCACACAGCAGCACCGGTCACATTCATGTAGGTGCCATTGGAGCATGGAATGGGTCTTTCACTTCCTAGTGGACAATGATGTCCAATAGGGCAGATATCTCCAGTTACACCATCTGAAAGTGAAATAAAAATCATTTATCTTAGATATAATTATCACATGCAGCTATAGATTTCTCAAATGATAGTGTGATTTGTTTTGATAACCCATTGTCCAAATAAGTTTAATAATTAAGAACAAAATAATTATAATGAATGAATCTTTGTATATAAACATATAATATGAATATATTTGTATTTAATCAAGTGGAATACAATTTTTCATTGTATCTCATAGAAGTATCATGTATGTGTTGATCCATACTATGTAAAGTAGTACTTACCAGTAGGATTTGCTATATAGGCAGCACTGCTACAGAAATATCCCTCATCACACTGATCAGTGACATTGGGCTGTCCTGATGTCAAGCAGTAGTATCCACCATCACATGGAAGACAATCTGATATATCATCCATACCCTCCTGAGGTTGGCGATAACCAGCACCACAATCCACAGGAGTGGGTGTACCTTGTGGACAATAGTGGCCAACTGGACATAGATAACCATAAGATTCACTGGTTGGGTTTGGTGTTGTAGCTCCAAGCTCACAATAATGTCCAGCTGTGCATTCATCAAATGGTGTCACCAATCCAGGATTTGGACAGTAGTATCCTGGATCACAGAGTGGACATTCAATATCAGCACTCAGGCCTGTAGTGTTGCCATAACGTCCTGCTGGACAATCAATTCCAGCT